AAGGTACAGATTCCTCATGAGTACAATCAAGTGCTCGGGAATTCCCATTCTTCTCAATGTTATCCATAATTTGTCATGATCCACACAATCAAATGCCTTACTGAAAGTACCCAATGAGGAGGACCTGCCAATGTTCTCCTGTGTGCTTAGACAAGGCCCAAACTTTTTCCTGAAGCAGGTAAAATCTTTGGTGGTCTGGTCCACACTTAATTCTTGGGCTTCTTTTCCCAGGCCTGTCACTTCTAATTGTTCTCCCTCAGAACCCCAGGAGCCAAATACCCCTGGGTTTGTATTGTAATTGTCTGTTGAATTTAACCAACTCTTCACTGGAATGCCTGCACTACAGGTGGAGATTATGCCTTGTTTCTTCCACTATTCCACCCTGAGCCCAACATGATGCACATGAAGACAAGGCTGCCAAAAGTAGGTAGAAAGGCTGGACTTTGACCACGAATCCCAGCTCCACTACTCATTGACTGTACCACTGTGGCATCTTGAGCAAAATAAATTCTCCATGTGTAAAAACGGTGCACTCATCCCTCCCCTCATAAATGCTATGTGAGAATCAGATGATATGGTATTTGCCTTTGTCAATTAGCGTGCTATTATAACTTGGTCTTCTCCCCTCCTGTAGGCCCAACAATCATTACAGTGCCCAGGGCAAAGGCAGAGCCTGGACTAGGCTGAGGCCAGAGACGCGCCAAAGGCGCAAAATTTAAGGCCCTCAACTCTCGGGTTCGTGCAAGTGCAGAGTCCCAGCCTCACCTTAGTCTGGCCCTGCCCAGAGGACTGAAGCACTAAGAAACGCTCAGAGGACAACCCATCCTCCAGCACTGGGCCCCGATACGCCTCACACACGGGGATTTGTTGTCGCAGACAGATCCGGAAGCCCTTCTATTGGCCGTTATTCTACTACGTCACTAGGGAGCGCCCGCTTTGAACAAGTCTTATTGGCTCTTTGGGCCACGCCGGCTGTGTAGGGCTAGCTGGAGTTGTGGTTCAGCTGGAGTTGTAGTTCCTGGGACTGGTTTCAGTTAGCGCGATCACGTTGACAGTGGCCAGGCGCAGACTGACCTTCGGCCTCGGTCCCGCCTGCCTACCCCACCCCTATCCGCACAGCTCAGAGCGCCAGACAGAACCGACCGCCGCTGCAAAGTAGGTCTGTTCTGGGCCAGGCCTATAGAGTATCCACAGCAGGGGGCGGCGGAGTGACGGGGCAAGGGGCCTTTTTCTCCCTCCAGGCCTCTGGTAGAGGGTAAGACTGGACTGAAGTCCTCGGCAGCTTTCGATTACACGGACCGGGCGGGGCAGGCCCTTATGAGCGCCCACTGAGTTTAGGCGACAGCTGGGCAAACGGGGAAACAAAATCCCAAGCTGATGGATGAGTATGGGGGGGGTGGCTTTCTGTCGTATAAATCCATGTCTCTCAAGCTGGATCGAACTCAAGTTATGCAAAATGATGACCGTAGAAGCACCATGACCACTTTCTGACGTACTTTGGCAGGTGACGTCATCTTTTTTAGTCCTCAGCGTCCCTTTCTGTAAAATGGGGGTTGAGGGGGTGCCTCTATCTGACGAGAGGTAAGGGTGGAATGAGAACCTGCGTGTGTGCCAGTCACGTGAGGCCTGGGGTTATCTTGGAGAGCAGATGGTCTGCCTTATCCCTGTGACAGCAGCCAGCAGGTGGCTACAGTTTCCCTGAGCATGGCAGAGGACAGGCAGGTTGCCCGTGGGCCTCTAGAGGATCTCTTGTTAAGAATGTTCTTGTTTGCAAAGCATCTGGTTTCTGAACCAAGGACTTCAGTACAGAGGCATTTCTATGGAAAATAGTGCCCCAGTCCACACATCTGACATCCAATTTAAATATTTAGCATCATGATGCACTTTGTACAATTAACCCAACAATCCAATCTCTGCCTCGGGGGCCCAATTATTCATTTTCATGGAAAACAGACCATTAAAAAAAAAAAAAAAAACTGGCTTTCACATGTTTTCTCCCTCTTCTCCCAATCGCCCTGGCCCTTTCCAGCTTTGGGTAACTTTTCCCTCCAGTTGGTGGAAGGTTTCATTAGGAGAAAATAGCCCCTGACTTCTAGAAACTTCTCAGGGGGAGAAGAGGGTGTTTGACAGGGGTGGGTGGATGGGAGGTTGGAGCAGCAAGATCCTCAGATTCTCAGGCAGGGTGGTACATTGGGACAAGGAAGCTGCCAGGCAGTAAAGGCGAGCCAGCTGGAGAGGGATGCACCAGGAGAAAAAAGCTTTGAAGTCTGGAAAGGACTCTCAAATGTGAACGTGTTAGTTTTAACTTGAATGATCTCTCACAGCTGGTTAATAGAAAACGCTCAATGGCACCCCACTTCAAGAGGTGCCCAGGGCACATGTTATACCTGCCATACCTTAGATACACATCTGCTTCGTTGTCACTTGGACTGAGGTTGACAATCGCCAATCTTTCCCAAGTATAAAATGTCAAATCCTTGCTTCTGTCATTTGTCTGTTTGTTCATTCAACAGAGAGTTTCTCCTGGCCTCCTGTGCAGTGCCACTGAGCAGTGAGTGAGGAAGACCCAACCCCTGAACTCAGGAAGGAGACCGCTCAGGGATGCCTTTATGTCTATAGCCTCTATCCTCAGGAAGCCTGGGCTATTGTCTGACCAGGCTGGTGGGAGGCTGCTCTTAAAAGGCTTGGACTTTGTGGTAGGGATTCTGGCTTTGTCTTAGACAATAGGAAGCATTTTAAGCAGAGGGTCACAGGATAAAGTTTGCATTTAAAAACTGCTTGCGGCAGCTATGAGGCTAATTTCACCAGGGGTTCTTTGCCCATGCTGGAGCACACTCCTAAATTCACATTGTATTCAGTGGCCTGGACTGGGCTCCTAGTCCTGCTCATTTTAGCACAACTCAGCTCAGCACCATTTTCTCAAGGAACTAGACAAAGTCAGAGCCCCTGATCTTCACAGCACAAGTCATAATCGTCTTACTTATGTCAAGAGTCATTAACATCTGTCTCCTCTGTGATCAGAATGGCAGGACTGAAGTTTTCTGACCTACAGTGTTTCTCCAATGCCTTTAGTGGTGCCAAGCACATTGTAAGGTTTCAGAAAATATTGATTGAAGGAATGCTAGAATCTCTGGGGCCTAGCTTCGTTTCTGGAACAAAGTAGTTGCTTCTCTATAAATGTTTCATTACATACATTGAATTGAGCCAAAAAGCAACTTATAGAATATAGCAGAGTGAAATAACTTGGAGAACAAGGCCATTTTCCATGTGGTGTACCAGGAATTAGTGATGGGGTTAAGGGACTTGGGGTACAGCTTGAGAAATTTCAGTGTTCTTCATGATGCTTCTGGGCTCCCTCTCTCCTCTGGGACCCACTTTTTCTCTGCAGGCTTTGATGCTGGTGTTTGGTAGAAGAAGGTTGCTCACAGTTCTTCTGCAGGCTCAGAGGTGGCCCTTTCAACCCTCCAGAGACATGAGACTGGTACAGTTCCAGGCACCTCACCTGGCAGGACCTCGCCTGGGCTTGGAGTCAGGGAATGGCAAGGGGGTCATTGACCTCAATGCCTTTGACACCACGCTCCCCAAGACAATGGTAGAGTTCCTGGAGCAAGGAGAGGCCACCCTGTCAGTGGCGAGAAGGTAAATGAGCAGGCAGCACCGCTCTGTAGCAGCTGCCCTGGTCCCCCTCTCCCTCTTCTCACCCCTCCCCTGCCCTGTGAAACAGAACCAGCAGGTGGCTCTTCTGCAAGATAGCATAGTAACCCCACCTTTCCTTTTTCACTTGTTTTCTTGGTGATTTAGAAATCTTCTGGGGGAGCATCTACATCTTCAACTTACAGAGGGGAAAACTGAGGCCCAGGGAAAGTGATTAACTACCCCGGGACCACACATTTAGTGTAGAGCCAGGACTCTACTGCCTTCCCTGGGGCTTAAGTAGCAGCCTGGCCAAGACAAATGTATGAAGCCTGGGTCCTAAGAAGCATCTTGGGGAGCAGGGGGAGTTGTTGGCTTCTTGAAAGAGACAGGACTACAGAGGTTTTCTCAAAGATAGTTGGTTTTTAGGTTTGGGCTAGATTAGGTGGGAGCTGCCCTGAACCAGGAAGGAGCTCCAAGGACTCTGATCTGAAGGTGGTGATGAAGAGTCTGTTGAAACCACTCTAAGGTGTCATTTCTACCTATTGGCAAAGATACAAATGTTTGACATCATACAACATTGGTGACAGTAAAGGAAAGCATATTCTCCCACATGGCTGGTGGGAGTAAAGTGGCCAACTTCTATAGCTCTGGTAGCACTGTAGTTAAGGCATTCATCTGCTAACCAGAAAGTCAGCAGTTTGAACCTACCAGCCACTCTGCTGGAGAAAGATGAGGCAGTCTGTTTCTATAAAGATTTACAGCCTTGGAAACCCTATGGGCATTGCTCTGAGTCAGAATTGACTCAATGGCAGTGGTTTTATTTGGAAATAACTGTCAGAATTACAAGTGAATGTAACTTTGGACCCCAAAGTTCTACGGTAAGGAACCATTTCCACATTTGCACTCCATATATGTAAATGTTTTGTGTCCCAGGTTTTCTCTGCAGCTTTGTTTCTAATTGCACAAGATTGGAAACCACTTCCGTGGCCCTCCTTAAGGAATTGATGTGTTTCTACAGGGCAATAATATGCAGCCATAAGAAAAAAAGAGGAGTCTCTCTATATCGTTGTAGAGAGATTTCTAAAATATATTGTTAAGTATATGTAGTATACTATCTGCACATGTGGTGTATCTCCATACATTTGTCTTGGCCACGTAGTGGAGGGCTGGATGGGAAACAGGTGTCTCCAAGGAGGGGAACGGGAGGACTAGGAAGGTGGGAGGGAGACTTTTCTATTCATACCCTTTTGTACCTTTTGACTTCTCTCACATGGATATTCATTACCTACTAGGGGGAAAGGAAATTAACATTGGTAAATAGTCAACTGTGCACTGATTCCAAAGGACGGTAGCTAGACTTGATATTCACACTGACTCTGAGGGTTGGTGGATCTAGAAGACAACAATATTTTAAAAAGCAAAACTTGTAATTGTTACAGAGTCCCCCCAGCCCTCCCCTCTTTCTTGCTCTGCTCTCTGTAGAGCCCTGACTACCTCACTGCCAGTCCTGCCACAGTCAGAGGTGACCTTCCTGTCCCCAGTCACACGGCCAGACAAAGTGGTATGTGTGGGTATGAACTATGTGGACCACTGCAGAGAGCAGAATGTGCCCGTGCCCAAGGAGCCCATCATCTTCAGCAAGTTTGCCAGCTGTATTGTGGGGCCCTACGATGAGATCATTCTGCCACCTGAGAGCCAGGTCAGTGTCTCCCCATTGCCCTCCCCAGTCACCCTTCACAAGGGCAACTGAGCTCAATGTCTAGCCCTATCAGATGACTTTTCTTTCAGAAGCCACTTGTTGCTGAATAGTGCCTTAAACTGAAACTACAAGGGATTATGTAGTAGTAATACTGCCTTGGAAAAAAAAAAAATTAATGTATGTTTTTCTGATTACAAAAGTAATATACTTTCATTGTATAAAATTAATAAAGAAAAAGTCACCCATATTCCCACGACCCAGGGCTCATGATATAATGTACATATTAATATATATTTATAATGTGCATGTACCAAAGTGGTGTAGTGGTTAAAGCATTGGGCTGCTAACCCAGAAGTCAGTGGTTCGAACTCACTAGCAGCTCCATGGAAGAAAGATGAGGCAGTCACCTTCCATAAACCTTGGAAACCCTATGAGGAAGTTCTACTCTTTCCTAAAGGGTCACTATGAGTTGGAATTGACTTGATGGCAATGAGTTTGGTTTTGATATATGTATACCTACCTTTTGGGAGGAGCTCTGGTGGTGTAGTGCCTAAGGCATTTGACTGCTAACCAGAAAGCTGGCAGTTCAAACTCACCAGCCAGTCCTCGAAAGGAAGGTTGGACAATCTACTTCTATAGAGATACCACCCCGGAAACCCAAGGAGGGGTCGCTATGAGTCAGGACCAACTCAATAGCAGTGAGTTTGGTTTGTTTTTTTGGACCTACCTTTTACTTAAGATTCCATCAAAAACATTTTTTCATGCCATTAAATATTCTCCCTTGACATTTTTTTTTTTTTTTAATTGTGCTTTGGGTGTAAATTTACATAGCAAACTTGTTTTGCAATCAATAGTTCATGCACATCTGATTTCACGGCCCCAGTTACCATCCCCAACTGTAAAAAAAATTCTCCTCCCCATGACCATCCCCTCCCTGTGCCCCACTCATCCATGCATTCCTGTCTGTCCAGCCTGCCCTCCGTGAGTGCTACTCCTCTGGTGTCTCGTGGCTGCTTGATCCAAGGGGTACATCTCCCTGAATAGGTGGGTGCATCAACCTGGGGTAGGTGTTCTATATGTAGGTCTTTCTTCTGTTGGACTGAGAGCCTATCCATGTAAGTGAGTCCATTTCTAGGCCTGAAGGGTAACCCAGGGCCATAGTCTCAGAGGTTCCACCAGTCTCTTTCTGACCAGTAATTCTGGTCATTTTTGTGTTTTTTGAATTTTGTTCCACATTTTTCCTCCCATTCTATCCAGGATCTACAGGTTTGATCCATTTCAGAGCATTTGGCGTTGGTAGCCAGGCAACACATAGTTCTGGTTTCAGGTCATAGAGGCTGAGGTCTCTGTGGTTCATCTTATTTTTAGACTAATTGTTTCTAGATGACTTTGATTTTCTTCACTCTTCTTTGCTCCAGATGAGAGGAGACCAGTAGTTGCATCTTAGATGGCTGCTCAAAAGCTTTTAAGACCCCAGTCGTTACTCATCAAAGTAAGTTGTAGAACAAAATTTTTATGAACTATGTGTGCCAATTGAGCATGACATCCCCTGAGACTATGGTCCCGAGCCCCCAGGCTTGGTGATTCTTTGTCACAAGATGTTTGGCTGTCTCTGTGAAGTTACTGCAACTCTGTCTTCTGTTGCTTCTATAATGTATGTAGCTAATTTTGTAGCACAAGTGCATATGTAAGATTATCTTCAGCCAAATCTGCCCTTGGTCTAGGGTGTATTTCTATTCGCCTACCCCCACCTTGTTGTTGCTGTTTTGCCATCGAGTCGGCCCCGACTCATAGCGACCCCTCCTTGGGTTTCCGAGGCAGTATCACTACGGAAGTAGGATTGCCCAACCTTCCTTCCGAGGAGTGGCTGGTGGGTTTGAACCGCCAGCCTTCTGGTGAGCAGTCAAGTGCCTTAGGCACTATGCTTGGGCAATCCTACTTCCGTAGTGATACTGCCTCGGAAACCCAAGGAGGGGTCGCTATGAGTCGGGGCCGACTCGACGGCACATAACAACAACAACAACAACCCCCACCTACTCTTCTTACCTGTCTATCCATTAATCTGTAGCCTGGTGTTTGGTGCTAGTGATACTGTAGTGTTGTGAATGTAATACTACATACTGTTGTCTGTATGTTTTGTGTGCATTTCAGTGTCTTCCTTTTCCCCCAATGTCACCATGCTGGTCACAGACTCCTTCTATACCATTCCTCCCCTCACCCAAATCAACATGTGACCCCCAAATAGTCTGAGATTTTCCCTCCTGTCCCCCAAAAAAACAAAACCAACTCACTGCCATCGAGTCGATTTGACTCATAGCGACCCCTCCTTGGGTTTCCAGGGTATCTCTACGGAAATAGATTGCCCAATCTTCCTTCCGAGGAGTGGCTGGTGGTTCAAACTGGTTAGCAGTCAAATGCCTTAGGCATTCCTGAATAAACTTTTACTTTTTCCAATAGTGGGCTCATACAATATTTTCCTTTTGCTATTGACTTATTTCACTCAACATAATGTCCTCCAAATGTTGCATAGTATTCCATTGTGTGAATGTACCATAGTTTAGTTATCCAATCATCTGTTGATGGGCATTTAGGTTGTTTCCATCTCTTTGCTATAGTGAATGGTGCTGCAGTGAACATGAGTGTGCATATGTCTGTTTGTGTTCTGGATCTCACCTCTTTAGGACATATTCCTAGTAATGGAATTGCTGAATCAAACGGTATTTCTATTTTCAGTTTTTTAAGGAAACACTATACCATTTCCCACAATGGTTATACCATTTTGCAGTCCCACCAGCAGTGTATGAGAGTTCCAATCTCTCCACAGCCTCACCAGCATTTGTTATTTGCTGTCTTGTTGAACTTTGCTATTATTGCTGGGATGAGAGGATATCTCGTTGTTTTGATATGCATCTCTCGGATGGCTAATGTTCATGAGCATTTCCTCATGTGTTTGTTGGCTGCCTATATATCCTCTTTAGTGAAATGTCTGTTCATGTCCTTTGCCCATTTTTGAATTGGGTTGTCTGCCTTTTTGGTGTTGAGGTGTTGAAGTTTTCCATAAATTTTGTCAGATTATGTCATAGCCAAATATTTTTTCCAATCTGTAGGTTCTATTTTTACCCTTTTGGAGAAGTCTTTTGATGCACATAAGAATTTAATTTTTAAAAGGTCCCAGTCATCTAGTTTCTTTTCCGCTGCCTGTGCATTTTGGATTATGCTTGATAGTCTATTTATGCCATAAATTAGGGCCCCCAGATTTTCCCCTAATTTATCTTTGATGAGCTTTATAGTTTTGGGTTTTACATTTAGGTCTTTGATCCAACTTGAGTTTGTTTTTGTGTATGGGGTGAGATATGGGTCTTGTTTAATTTTTCTACAAGTGGATATCCAGTTTTGCCAGGACCATTTGTTAAAGAGTCTATCTCTCTCCCATTTAATGGGTTTTGGGCCTTTGTCCCTTGACATGTTTTAGGTTACTGTGTAGTGTTGTATTAATACTTATAATTCATTCAATAATCTCTTGATAGTTACTTGAGTAGTTCCAGTTTTTGGCTTTTATAGGTAAAGTTGCATTGAACATCCTTAAAGACAAGACTTTCACATCTATGAATACATGATCATTTACTTTGAATAAACTCTTAAAATTTTGATGTCAGTGTGAAAGTATAGGTAGCATTTAAAAATGTTTATGAAATTCTGCCAAATTGACCTTCAGAAAAGTTGTGAAAGCAGTTTATACATCCATCAGCAATGTATGTACTCTTACTAACAGTGGGTTCGTTTTTCCCTCAAATTTGTATTTTAGGAGTATTTTGGAAATTAGTGGCCTCCAGAAAAGGCAGGAAAAAAATAGTACAATGAACATTTATATACCCTCTACCTGGATTTACTTTTAACATTTTGCCACATTTCTTTCTCTTCATAATGCACATACTTTATTTCTTTGGTAGGAGAGAACATTTGAAAATAGGTTGCAGACATGAACATTAAAAATAAAAAATCCACAGCCGTTGAGTTGCTTCCGACTCATAGCGACCCTGTAGGACAAAAGGACAGAGTGGAACTGCCCCATAGGGTCTCCAAGGCTGTAAATCTTTACAGAAATAGACTATCTCATCTTTCTGCTATGTAGCTACTAGTGGGTTCAAACCACAGACCTTTTGGTTAGCAGCCAATGCCTTAATTACTGCACTACCCAGAGCTCCTTACTTTAAGTTTATTCACTCATAAAAACCTCATGCATATTTCTACAAATAAGGACAATATCTTGCCTGACCACAATAGCATTATCATGACTAAGAAAATTAACATGAGTAATATCTAATACTGTTTGAATCATAGCGACCCCATGTGGCAGAGTAGAACTGCCTCACAAGGTTGTCTAGGCTGTGTTCTTCACAGGTGCAGAGTGTCAGATCTTCCTCCTTTGAAGTTAGTGGGAGGACCTGTTGGTTAGCGGCTGAGCACTTAGCAATTGCTCCTTAATATGTATTCCAATTGTCCTAATTCCCAGTTGGGAATATTTCCAGTTGCCCCAAAGATTACTTTTAATTTGGTTACTGTTTTGTTTTTTATCTATATATCAATCAAAGCCACACATTGTATTTGGTTGTGTCTCTCTATTCACTTTAATCTAAATCAGAGGTCCACAGACTATTTCTTAAAGGGCCAGTTAGTAAATATTTTAGGCTTTGCAGGCCATATGATCTCTGTTCCAATAACTCAGCTCCATCATTGTAGTGCAAAAGCAGCCATGGACAATGTATGAACAAACGAGCATGGCTGTATTCCAGTGAAACTGTACAAAAACAGTGAGGTGGATTTGGCCATAGTTTGCCAACACTTGATCTCAGAAAATCCCCCTGCCCTTTTCTATTTTTCATCACATTGATGATTTGAAGAATCTAGACTAGTTGTAGTGTGTCCCACACACTGGTCTGTTGTTTCCTCATGATTAGATTCAGTTTAAACACTTTTGTCAAGAGTTCTAACAAGGAGATGTTGTGTACTTTCCATTGCTTCCCATCAGGAGGCTTAAGTCAGGTGGTTTCATCACTTAGTTATGTTAGCTAACTCAGACCTCTCCATTGGAAAGCTTCATCTTCATTGCTGTAATTAACAACAGAGTTCAAGACAACATGACTATCTTGTTGCTCCACGGCATTTCCTCTGCTCATCTGTACCTTACTCCTTTATTGCATTAAGGGTTATAAGAAGGTGATTTTTCTACCATGCCTTCTACTTTAATTATGTGATTTCTTCCATGAAGAAAAGCTGCCTCCCTCCTTTTTTACTCCTCTCCCTTTTAGTATCACTGTGAATTCCTAATTTTTTATTTTTATCCAATGTATTGTAATCTATCTCTTACATTCTTTTTGATATTCAAATGGTCTCAATTTGGTCCATGGGGTTGCCCTCAAAATGGCTTCCATCCCCATCACTTTTTGAGTACTTCCTTGCTCTCTGGACAAGATATTCTAGGCTCATCTTGTACTGTCTACCTCAGACAGAATTAGCTACTTTTCCAAGGAACCCTGGTTCTTTTTAGTGGTGGATGCCATTAGCAACCAAGATCTGGGAGCTGGTGTTCATTCCAACCCTGATTGTACCCTTAGAAATAGTAGTTAATTTGAAAGGCTAAATTCTATTTTACAGTTGCACTTCGTTTGTGGGAGAGGATGAGCATTTTTTCAGTTTTGTGGCATGTATATTTATTTCTTCTTTTGTGAATTGCTTATTTAACCGCTTTGCCCATATTTATTGGAGATACTGATCTTTTTTCATATTATCACTTAAGTGAGTTAATACATTAAAGCACTTAGAATAGCGATTGGCACATAGTAGGGTTACCGACTGTTAGCTATTATTATTTAGAAATGCATTTTATCGTTGGCCCGTTGCTGGAGATGGA